GAAGTTAATATAAGGGGGGGGGGGGAATCAAAAAATGAAAGTTGGATTAATTTCTTCTAGAAAAGAACCACCACCACCACCACCTAGTAATACCTAGGGATTAGTGCGATTAGCCACAGAGGATAAGAGTAAATGATGACGTGATTGGTGTTGTTAGTGATTTATACTTGCCTTCCAGTCCTAACTGTTTAATATTTGATAATTATTAGTCATTTAATCTAAATTTAAGTTTTAATTATCCCACATCAGCCAAAAACAGCTGGCGCCCCCACCCCCCACCCCCCTCACCACCGGTGGGTAGTTACGCCTCTGCGTCGGCTATCCGCTCTGTTCTGTAGCGCTGGCCTGTCCACATTTGAACACACGCTGTACACGTCACACGGAAACGGACACCCGGTAATAAAACGCTACCCACTGACAGGTAATCGATACCCGCACTGACTAAACACTGGCTGGGTTATTCCTACACTCACCAGCCAGGTTGAGTGTTGAAATAGTCAGACTCTACTCTATTCTTCAGAGATTCTATACACAAGTCTATCAAGGTGCTGATTAAAAAATCAGTATCTACTCTCTAGCCTCGTGTTAGTGTAAAATGGCCTCAGTGTGTAATCTTATTACAAGGATCTCCAAGTATATCTAAAATCTAATTTTAGTCTACAACTGGTCACGTTAAGAGTCCAATTATATATTCTCGATGTCAATGTATTCTTTTGTTAATTTTTGTGTTTGCCTCAAGTGTCAAGAATCGAATGTATTTTTAGTATCATCTTCGCTCTGTTCAAACAGCGGGCTGTGGGCCCATGCAGCCCTCGTTAACTGATGTCAGACTTTCAGCAATACATAGAAAGAAAAAAAAAGGATGGGGGGGGGGGGGGGGGGGCCCAACCCCCCCCCAAAAAATTTTAGTATCATCTTCGCTCTGTTCAAACAGCGGGGTGTGGGCCCATGCAGCCCTCGTTAACTGATGTCAGACTTTCAGAAAAACAAAAAAAAAAAAAAAAAGGGTGGGGGGGGGGGGAGTGGGACCAACCCCCCCCCCTCAAATCATCTATGATCTAGCCGATAAAGGTATAAGGTCCTATCAATTATCAAAATATTTACCCAGTATGAATTATATAGGAGAATTTCAAGCAATTAATTACACAATAAAAAAAGTATTAAAAATATATAACAAGAAAGTATCAAGTTTGTTTTGATTTGATATCAGTGAAGTATCAATTTTGAAAATATTTGGTTTCTGTCACAGATATGAATATGGAACAGTTTGCCCCAATCTTAGACGGAATTTTAAAATGATAAACAATCATTAAGGAAACGTTTAAAGACTTTAAAGAAAAAAAAATAAATAGATTTAAGAACATTAGAGCACTGTGAGCATGTTAAAGTAGCATGGATGCAAGAGCTATAGAAATATCCAAGTCAATTCAATATGAATAATAATGGGAGATAAGTAAGATAGTAAAAATGTCTTATATAATATTTAGAGTGTTGGGACTTGGGGAGATACTGGCCAATCAAAAAAAAAAAAAAAAAAAAAAAAAAAAAAAGGTTGAACAATGGAGTTTGTTTGGACAAGACTGAACAGAGACGACTGTTAATGTTGTAATGTGTGTTGATTGTGCTGACACATCTATCAAGTAAAGAAGATTATGTTATCCAGAAGTTAGTAAATGAAATTCATGTGATATAATTTCAAAATGTTTTTGGATTCTTGTGAAATGCTTTTTCTTATCGTGAATGTGGAAAATACAATATCAGGTCCCAATGTCAACCACTTCGCCTGTAGTATTATTTACAACGAAATTGTGCATTGACCGTTTCTATAACAGCTCTTTACGGAGCAGTGATGGACAAAATATATATTCGTTATATAAGATCTCGTCTTTTTTTTTTTTTTGGGTGTGGGGGGTGGAGACGGAAAGCCATGGATCGCTCCGAATGGAAGGATGTGGTGGAGCAGGCCAGGGCCCTACATGGGCTGTAGTGCCATTGATGATGATGATGTGGGGGGTGGGGGAGGGATATATACTTCTCTGTTTTTGTTAAACCATTTTAAAAAAGTGTTGAACATACGTTTTACCAGGTTGTATCTTGTTGTACCATGTTGTGCCAGGTTGTACGAGGTTGTACCATGTTGTAACATGTTGTACCATGTTGTACCATGTTTTACCAGGTTGTATCTTGTTATACCATGTTGTGCCAGGTTGTACCATATGCTACCAGGTTGTACCATGTTGTACCATGTTGTACCATGTTGTACCAGGTTGTAGCATGTTGTACCGGTTGTACCATGTTTTACCAGGTTGTATCTTGTTATACCATGTTGTGCCAGGTTGTACCATATGCTACCAGGTTGTACCATGTTTTACCATGTTGTACCAGATTGTACCATGTTGTACCAGGTTGTAGCATGTTGTACCAGGTTGTAGTATGTTTTACCAGGTTGTATCTTGTTATACCATGTTGTGCCAGGTTGTACCATATGCTACCAGGTTTTACCATGTTGTACCAGATTGCACCATGTTGTACCAGGTTGTACCAGGTTGTACCATGTTTTACCAGATTGTACCATGTTTTACCAGGTTGTACCATGTTTTACGAGGTTGCAGCATTGTGTACCATGTTGTACCATGCTGTATCATTTTGTATCATGTTGTCCAGTTGTAAAGACCAGTTTTTACAGAGGATAAGTATAAGATATACTTTATATACTTTAAAGTGGATATATCTATATCTATATATACTAAAAAAATTCCATTGTGTCAAAAAAGCCATCAAAATTCTGTCAGGGAGAACATGTGGCAACAATTAAAACAAAACTCAAAACTAAGAGTTGTAACAAAGAGTCGTTTGACAGATTGTTGCTTTATTTTGACAGACAAAGTTACAAAGAAAAGGGGAGGCAACACGATTTTTGAAGTCTTTGGGGAAGCGCCGGAATAAAACATTTCCAATGAAATTAAGGGAGATAATTCTAATTGTACAGTTTTTTTTTTAAATTTAAATTTTAAAGATTTACTTTATAAAACGTATACTTGAAATAGGTCTCCAAAGTGATTTTAAACACAAAATGATGCTTTTATCTAATACAAATATGTAACAATTTATGTTTTAAACGTTAACAGTAATTTGTGTCAATAACATTTTGTGTTCAGGGAAGAAGACAAGAAGTTCGTCTCTTCCGGTAATATGTTTGAACAAACTCTACTCACTTGAGGTGGACATTTATATATATATATATATATATCTCTGTATATATATATATATATATACCAAACGGAATTAGAAGAAGGTTGATTTGAGCCATTGTTACACCAAGAGATAATCATAGATAGTAACTTTGATCTAGTGAGGTAGTCACAATATATATATCTTTAGAATTTCATAACAAAGACATTTATTATTTCATTTAGATCGGATCTGTTGAACGAAATAAAGTCATCAGAACTGTGTTGTCTAGAGATCTGAAGAACAGGACGACATTGGGATGTTGAACATGACATTGGACACACGACAGCAAACATATAATTCAAAGAATAACCTTGAACAGCAATTAAACAATAATGTTTTCTCCAAGTGTTAACATTCACAATTACATATTAACAACAAAGCCACAATCACAATACCATTATAAACCAATAAAGCTACAATCACAATAACATATTAACCAGTAAAGCTACAATTACAATAACATATTGGCCAATAAAGCTACATTCACAATAACATATAAACAATAAATCTACAATCACAATAACATATAAACCAATTAAGCAGACGGATACAAGATGACAAGATGAAGTAACACAATGTAAATGTACAATGGAGAAGTCAAAGTCTTACAAGCACGAAGTCACTTATGAAATATCTTGATAACGTCATGGTCCCATAAGATGATGTTTTTAATGATTTTTATCACAGACAATATCACAGACGTTTGCGGACGGAAGTGATCAAGTCATCCTTTAAAAAAAAACACGGGAAATAATATTTTAAAAAACAACAACTTAGTAAGAGAATTAAGATGGTCTCTAGCATTCGTAATTATAAGTTACCCAATTTTGGAAATTTGTCTCGTTAAACATAAAGCATTAACAAGCGTAAAATTAAGTATTTGAAAAGTTTCACAAAAATACAACAGTTATTTTTTAGCAAATTATCTTATTGGGTTTCTAAACAATAAGTGTTTGTTGTACAGTAATGTGTAATGCGACAATTTGTAGACGGATGATATTCCTGAAAGCTGGCATGTCAAGTTGTTAAGTTCTCGATGATATGGGCGGTGTCTAGATAGATATAAATAAATAAACGAGTCTTGACACGGGTTGCGGGCCCTTCTAAGGACACGCTTGGGAGTCAATCGTGAAAACGGAAGTGAAATCTGTTGCCATGGCGATTTGGCGTCTCTTGAGGTCCTCGTAACGAGCTGGAAGGGAACAAAGGATGACATTGTCATCAATTTACAAAATCAATGTCAGACGTTATAAATCAAAGATATTTCTCAGGATGCCAAAGTGAGTTAAGATAAATTTTATTAATAAGGATACCCATATCAATTAAGGTAAAGACCATTGACTAGGGATAAAAATAAAATAAAGGTTATTGACTAGGATACCAAAATCAAATAAGATAATATTTTATTGATTAGGATTGGGCATCAGACGACGGGTATGAGAACAAAAGGACATGAGAGAAAGTATCATAAAATAGTCTAGTTTAGATAAAATTACCACCAGGGCACTAATTAAAACGGGAAATCACAAATCCATGCGCACTTGGTGTGCAACAATCATACTTAAATGTTAACAGGAATAATGACTTACGGTCCCCCATCATCTTCTTGATGTCCTCCTCGTTCTTGAACAGGTGCATGGTAACCATGGTGTTTTCCTCCACGTGATGACGCCTCAGCGAGTCCGCGCCGATGGACTGCACGACGAATGGCTGTGGAGTCACATGGGGCAATGATTTTAACATTACATTTTTGTACGGAGCAAGCGGCTGGCGCGTCATGTATGAATGTATTCTACGACTTTTGAATAGATGTTAGAACAAACGACAAACATTTCTAAACTCTCATTATGATATTTCGAGGAAAACTCCACCCTTGGCCTAAACGAGGAAAACTCCACCCTTGGCCTAAACGAGGAAAACTCCACCCTTGGCCTAAACGAGGAAAACTCCACCCTTGGCCTAAACGAGGAAAACTCCACCCTTGGCCTAAACGTGGAAAACTCCACCCTTGGCCTAAACACTCACATTAATTTCCTTAGAATTTTTCAAGCTTCATTTGTAACATGACATTTACATACATTTTTTTTTAACGATTTATTTTTTATTTTTACAAAAAAACTAAGTGACGCAACTTTACAACGAATGAAATTTTATTTTGTACACCAAGAACGCGACCAGAAAACAAAGACAATTGGAATAGCAGGGTCGTCTTATATTTCAACACAATCCACATCAAATTCTGTCCTAACCTTTCTTCTCAGATTTGAGTGGATTATATCGAGAAAATAAGTCACCACAAAACAACACAGACATGGCTTCCCGAGAATCTAAGCCTAAGGCTACACATTAACTGACAGTGCAATGTGGCTAGAGTTTACTATCCCTAGTGTAATGTGGCTAGAGTTGAAATGTCCTTAGAGCAATGTGGCAAGTGTTTACCTGTCCTTAGTACAATGTGGCAAGAGTTGACCTGTCCGCATTGCAATGTGGCAAGTGTTTACCTGTCCTCAGTACAATGCGGCAAGAGTTTACCTGTCCTCAGTGTAATGTGGCCAGAGTTTACCTGTAATCAGTGCAATCTGGCAAGTGTTTACCTGTCCTCCATAATCGAGGATGAGTTGTGAGAAGGGGTGGGCAAATCTCTCCTTGTACTCAGAGTAGGAGGCAGCCCTCAGAGTGTTGTCACACAGCATATAGGTCTTAAAGACTGGGGAAAATTGGGTGGTCAGTGGCAGCAGATGACTTTTTGGTGACTGGAAGACTTATCGGTGATTGGGTGACTTTTAGTGATGGGGCGACTTATTGATGATTGGATGACTTCTTGATAGTTGGATGATTAATTGGTGATTGAATGCTTTATTGAGGATTGAACGATTTATTGGGGACTGAATGATGTAATGATGATTTGATGACTTATTGGTGATTGGATGACTTATTGGTGATTGGATGACTTATTGGTAGCTGGATGACTTTTTGGTAGCAAGCGGATTGAGAGTTACAAATCATACTAATCATTGAACAGCTATGATTGGTTATTTATTACTTTTCATGATTGTGTCAACGATTGTGTTCATGACTGTGTTCATGATTGCGTTAATGATTGCGTTAATGATTGTGTAAAATGATTGCATTCATGATTGTATTAATGATTGGGTTAAGATTGCGTTCATGATTGTGTTCACGATTTTATTCATGATTGTGTTAATGATTGTGTTCTTGATTATGTTATTGATACTGAAAGATGCGTTGTTAAACCTGGTGGCACACCCGTTGCGTGACTCCGCCAGTCAACACGCGAACTAAGGAGGTTATTTATGTCACTGTTTGACAAATTAATTGTGTATTTTATTCCCGTTAACTCCGATCTGAAATCGATCAATATAATAATGTACGAAAGAAAGTATGGTGCATTGGTCAATTCAGTAGTACACGAAACATAAATTCCCGATAACTGCGCTAAATGAGATTCTTGAAAATACCGCAAGTGCGTTTGGCGCGTAATATTTTCTTTAAAATACAGAATATGTCCCAATTTAGTTATGATAAAATAAATCTGCGATGTCAAAAAAAAAAAGAAAGAAAAAACAAAAGTGGTGGGGGATGGGGGCGCGCCGAATTATAAAGTTAATATTGTTTTGGGGCGTGGAAAGAGTATGAGGTGGTGAGCCTGGCACAAAAAAGTGGGGTGGCCGGGGGGGGGGGATTAGCATTAATTGGGATTATTGTAAAGTGCTTTTCTTGAATGCATGTTTTTCAAAATAATTTTTAGCAGATTTGGAGTTCACGTCTTTCCCCCGCCATTGTTTGGCCGGCTGTAACTAGAAGAACTAGTTCTTTTAAAATGGGAATACAGTTATTGAAAAACTTGTCTGTATCAGAAGTCTGTAAGAACTTTTAGAGTGTGGCGAAAAAAATGAGTCTTTGAATGAGAAAACCTTTCAATGCGAAACAAAAATGAAACGGTGAATCAGACGCGCGTGATTTCTGCTTGATTGCTTCAAGGGGGCGTGACCCTTTACTTCAAAAGAAACTCAACAGGTACTAATGGTAAGAACGCGATAACAACAGGCTCGTGCGTCACGGTCGAATGACAACGGGTCAAGGACACATCGCCATTGACACATGGGATTTTAGGAGTATGTGAATCGTTTTAGCTCCATGAGCTCAACAGGTGTAAGACACCACGATTTTTGCATTGGAATTTGATTTGTGTAACTAAAGTTTATGCCCGAAGGCTGAATTATGATTGGCATCTTCCTAGAGTGCTGAATTATGATTGGCATCTTCCTAGAGTGCTGAATTATGATTGGCATCTTCCTAGAGTGCTGAATTATGATTGGCATCTTCCTAGAGTGCTGAATTATGACTAGCATGTTCCTAGAGTGCTGAATTATGACTAGCATGTTCCTAGAGTGCTGAATTATGATTGGCATCTTCCTAGAGTGCTGAATTATGACTAGCATGTTCCTAGAGTGCTGAATTATGATTGGCATCTTCCTAGAGTGCTGAATTATGACTAGCATGTTCCTAGAGTGCTGAATTATGATTGGCATCTTCCTAGAGTGCTGAATTATGATTGGCATCTTCCTAGAGTACTGAATTATGATTGGCATCTTCCTAGAGTGCTGATTTATGCCTAGCATGTTCCTAGAGTGCTGATTTATGACTAGCAGGTTCCTAGAGTGCTGAATTATGCCTAGCATGTTCCCAGAGTGCTGATTTATGGCTAGCATCTTCCTAGAGTGCTGAATTATGACTAGCATGTTCCTAGAGTGCTGAATTATGCCTAGCATGTTCCTAGACTGCTGATTTATGACTAGCATCTTCCTAGAGTGCTGAATTATGATTGGCATCTTCGTAGAGTGCTGAATTATGCCTAGCATGTTCCTAGAGTGCTGATTTATGACTAGCATGTTTCTAGAGTGCCGATTTATGAATATCATGTTCCTAGTGTGCTGATTTATGACTAGCAAACTGCTTGAGTGCTGAATTAACAGCTGTATCCGGAAAAATCTCCTTAAAAGCTGGCTAAAGTTGCAAATATGGCTAAAGTTGCAATTCTGGCTCGAGTCGCTTATCAGGCTTAAGTTTTTAATCTGGCTAAAGTTGCTAAGCTGGCTAAAGTTGCTAAGCTGGCTAAAGTTGCTAAGCTGGCTAAAGTTGCTAAGCTGGCTAAAGTTGCTAAGCTAGCTAAAGTTGTTAAGCTGGCTAAAGTTGCTAAGCTGGCTAAAGTTGTTAAGCTGGCTAAAGTTGCTAAGCCGTCTAAAGGTGCCCACTGTTATCGCTGCGAGAAGATTTGTTAGACGTGTAAGTGTGAGAGTATAGTTTCCTCATTTATGAACAACAACATTGACCAGAACGTCAACTAATAATGTACTCACGGTCGTCGTCTCTCGTCTGGAGGAACTTGACCACTGTCCAGGCCTCACAGGCACCGGCCGGTGGCGGGAAGTCGGGTTGTTTGAAACGGTTGTCACTCACAAAGAAGCGGGTCGCCGCCTCCGTGGACTCGAACAGGTAAACCACCAGAGCCTCTTTCTGGTGTGGACCTGAACTGAGGTCATGAACCTGTGGGGTGAGGGGTGGTGGGGGGGGGGTCCAGACGTCAGAGGTTGTTGACATACATGAGGTAATAACCGGCTTGAATTCATTTAAATAATTTAATCATGTTTACCGTGGAATTATGACTTACATGGCCAGAGTTGATTAAGAGAAATTTAACATACAATATAGATCTAAGGAAATATCTAAAACAAGGAAAAGGAAAACTAGAAAAAAAAGACGAAATAAAACAACAAACGTTTCGTGGGGGGCGTAACTGGGGGGGGGGGTGCAGGTGTGTGGAGCACACCGGTTGACACCCCAACAGGGCAGACACAAAATGAAGAATGTCAATTTGGAAGAGTTCGCCCGGGTTTTTTTTTTTTAGAACAACAGAGGTGCGTCTACTGTTGGTTTGACACCGGAACAGGGTACCATAAGAACAGGGTACCATCAGAACAGGGTACCATCAGAACAGGGTACCAACATAACAGGGTACCATCAGAACAGGGTACTAACAGAAAAGGGTACCATCAGAACAGGGTACTAACAGAACAGGGTACTAACAGAACAGGGTACATTCAGAACAAGGTACCATCAGAACATGGTTCCATCAGAACAGGGTGTCACCAGATGGGGTGCCATCAGAACAGGGTGCACTGTAACAGGGTGTCACAAGATGGGGTGCCATCAGAACAGAGTGTACTATAACAGGGTGCCATCAGAAAATGGTGTCACCAGAGCAGTTTGCCATCATAGCCGGTTGCCAGCAGAACATGGCTTGCTAGACAGAGCAGGGTTCACTAGACAGATCATGTTTCACTCGACAGAGCATGGTTCACTAGACAGAGCAGGGTTCACTAGACAGAGCAGCATTCACTAGACAGAGCAGGGTTCACTAGACAGATCTGGATTCACTAGACAGAGAAGGTTCACTAGATAGAGCAGGTTCACTACACAGATCTGGGTTCACTAGACAGAGCATGGTTCATTAGATAAAGCAGGTTCACTACACAGATCTGGGTTCACTAGACAGAGCATGGTCCATTAGATAGAGCAGGTTCAATAGACAGAGCAGGGTTCACTAGACAGATCATGTTTCACTCGACAGAGCATGGTTCATTAGACAGAGCAGTGTTCACTAGACAGAGCAGCATTCACTAGACAGAGCGGGTTAACTAGACAGAGCAGGGTTCACTAGACAGATCTGGATTCACTAGACAGAGAAGGTTCACTAGATAGAGCAGGTTCACTACACAGATCTGGGTTCACTAGACAGAGCATGGCTCATTAGATAGAGCAGGTTCACTACACAGATCTGGGTTCACTAGACAGAGCATGGTTCACTAGTCAGAGCAGGGTGCCGTCAGAGTGGATTATAAACAAAACAGGGTGCAAACTGAGCAGGATTCCACCAGGAGTGGGATGGGGGAGTCCAGATATGAGGGTGACTGCACCGGGTGACACCAACCTTAGTGACATCTCTGCGTTGTGTCGGCAAGATGCCTTCCTCAGCCAACAGCACAAAAACAAAAGGAACAACTGTAAACATACAAAATCTTAGCCGAAAGGTCATATCTAGAGAACATCAAGAAGATTGTCATCACATATCCATGTTGACAGTTTTGGATCAGTTAAACTCTAGTGGACAAGATCGTGACAATGAACCAGTCGTTCGTTAGGGGAGTGGGGGGAAGAGCACACGTGTAGGGAGAGGGGGGCCTCAGTAGGCACTTGGGGGGGGGAGAGTTTTATTTTTGGTCTAAATCCTATACTTCATATCGCTTATTGTTGTGTATTTTGCATGCCTGGAGGTTACCGTGAATTAGGGAGGGGGCAGTGTTATGGACGGCACCGGACGCCCCAAACTCGAGCTACTCCACTGGCTCGGAGTCTTGCACTATGATACATCACATCGAATTGGCGCTTTACGGTGGCCTAAAATAGTCTCTAGATCTATATTTAAGGGATGATAAGCAGTAAGTGTCATTTACCCTCCCTCGATTCCTATCTTGAATCCACCATCACTTTGATGCACAAAACAGTCTAAAACAACTTTGAAAGATAGTACTAAAAATAACAGTTTGTCACAACCTGGACGAATGTTGACAGGTCGTACTATTAAAAAAAAAAGTTTGTGTCAACCTGGATTAACGTAGACAGATCGAACCAAATATGACAATATTTGACAAGTTAAACAATATTTTTTGTAAAAAAATCAACATGAAAAGCAAACATTTTTAAAAGTAAATAAAAGCTTTCGAAAAAGGTATAGAGTTTGAAGGTTTGTTTTGACATCATGATGATTGTGATGGTGACTGAACCCATTAGGAGCCTACTGAGAAGTCAAACAAGTATTGACATCGTGATGTTTTTGAGGATGACTGAACCCATTAGGGGAGCCTATTGAAACATTGAGCAAGTATTGACAGACACTGATGGGATGAATACAGAGCATCTCGATGTGTTATCTATCGGATCAATCAGGATCGGTATCAAACGTCCACCGAGGGATCATGATTGGCACAAACATACACACGTCATGATAACACCAATCCCACTTTGGGCGCCATGTTCAAGTGCAAACATTTTTTGGATAAGACCCGAATCAAGCAACATGTCATTTCAAATGACATGTTCTGGGAAGGTGGTGAGCACCACCAATCATTCAGACTGTGTGTCCAAAAAAATTCATCAAATGCCAAATTATTGGACTGAGATTGGTGTCCCTCCCCAACTTCCCCCCTTCCACCCTTCTTCTCGTTTAAAATCCTTATGGAGACGTATACAGAAAACGAAAGACTTCGCGTGAAAAATCCGTGACTTCTAATGGATGTAATAATTTACGCACTGATAATTGAATCGAAATGTTGCACCAGCAAAATTAATATTACTATCAATTTCAACAGAATATGTAAATTGAACTAAAAAATAGCCCATGCCATCATATCAATTAGTTCATTCTAAGGAATGACACGGTTCTGCCGGTTCTGCCGTGTGAAAGTCTCGGAGTCAGCACCCGGGGGCAGTGTCGGATACCATAAATAGTCCTGGCAGCCGTGGGCATTATTAAGCATTGGCATACCTGTCAGAAACCTTCGCGTGAGTTACCTGCATATTAAATACTTAACCGCCAGAGACCTACCAGCCATTGAGCTACCCATCAAATACTTAGCTGACAGAGACCTACCTACAATTCACCTACCTATCGAAGACCTTCTCCACCAGAGACCTACCAGCCATGGACCTACCTATCAAAATCTAACCTTCAGGGACCTACCATTGGACCTACCTGCAAATGTTCTATCAGTGACCTATACCAATCACCCACCTGCCAAAGACCTACCTGCTAATGACGTTTTCAGTGACCATTATAAATTTTGTGACACGCCTGCAAAAGACCTCTCCATCAATGAACTGTCCGGTAGCGACTCACCTTTCGAGCTATGCCGATGAACTCCCCTCTCGCCGTGGTGACCGCCCTCTTCCCCAGGACGACCGTCTGGGCGGCGAACTCCACGTCTCGGCCGGGGAATCGGATGAACAGGTAGACGCCGTGTCCCTGGGGTGGGTTCCACTGGCGCACCGGCCACCGCTCGGGCACGTAGCCCCACTCGTGGCTCTGCAGCTTCTTTGGCTTGTAGCGATCCATAGCTGGAAGTGGAAGGCATCAGACATGTTTCACCCAAGAGTCGTACAAAGGGGGCAGTAATAACAGTAGCAAGCAGTTGTTTTTTGTTTTGTTACCTTCTACAGAAATCAACAACAGTACTTACAAGAAGAAATCAACAAAATATCGATTAAACGTCCACTAACTGATCATTGTGAATAGAAAAAAAATATTCAAATTCAACTGCTGACATTACTTCCACAAGCAATAAAATCCATTGAATTCCTTTTCCGGTTCTCTCATGACGACCTTCGGGAAAAAGTTGCCGAGGGAAGGGAAAGGTCGGGAAGAATGCGCGACTGGCACGCCACAATTGGAGTGTTGGTTTATTTGTGTTAAAAGGACACACTGGGTCGAAACAGGACACGCTGGTTCGCAACAGGACACACTGGGTCACAACAGGAGACACTGGGTCGCAAAAGTACACACTGGGTCGCAAAAGGACACACTGGGTCGCAACAGGACACACTGGGTCGCAAAAGGGCACACTAGGTGGCAACAGGACACACTAGGTGGCAACAGGACACACTGGGTCGTAAGAGGGCACACTAAGTGGCAACAGGACACACTAGGTGGGAACAGGACACACTGGGTCGCAAGAGGGCACACTAAGTGGCAACAGGACACACTAGGTGGGAACAGAACACACTAGGTGGCAACAGGACACACTGGGTGGCAACATGACACACTGGGTGGCAACAGAACACACTAAGTGGCAACAGGACACACTGGGTGGCAACTGGACACACTGGGTGGCAACAGGACACACTGTGTGGCAACAGGACACACTGGGTGGCAACAGGACACACTGGGTGGCAACAGGACACACTGGGTGGCAACAGGACACACTGGGTGGCAACAGGACACATTGGGTGGCAACAGGACACACTGGGTGGCAACAGGACACAACAGACTGAGGACTCGTTGATTTCAAACGATTCGGACTCAAGGCAAATGTAATTTTAAAAAAAATTAAATTAAAATTAATTTAGAGGCGGGTTGAAGTTTTGTAAGACTGGCGTGAAGAATAGTCTTAGTATCACTTGTCACGTGACCTTGGCCCATTGTTTACATTAGATTCAGATGACCAAATGTGTTCTTCCTATCATATAAGACACATATAAGATCATAAAAGACAAAAAAAACATATTAGACACATATTGTATACATATAAGACACATAAAAGACACATCAACCATATTAGACATATTAGATACATATTAGACACATATATGACATATTTAAGACACCTTTAATACACATAAAAGACACACATAAGACATATTTAATACACATAGACATATAAGACACGCACGAAACATATTGGGCACATATAAGACACATATCAGGCCCATAAGACACATTAGACACATACAAGACACATATAAGACACATATAAGACATGCATCAGACACCACATTGCGACTACCTTAAACGTAGCACGTAAACAGAAGCGGTAAGCGCTAAGTTGGAAATTGTTTTATTACAGACCAAAAGTGCAATGTGTTTCCACTACAGAGCCCCTGAATGACGCCTGAATACTTTAGGGTGATTCTATCATAGAAATATGGTGATAAGTGAGGCACGGTGCCCCTAACACAGTCGATCCGGTCTTTGATGGTCCCGTCCAGTGGAAACATTGGTGGAGTATGCCACCTACAACTGTATTGTATTGAACGGACTTGTCCTCGGCTTGTGTTTGGTTTATTTATAGAATCAATAGGCGGGAGAGCGCGTGCATTGTCCTCGCGCGAATTGTTTACTGATTTTTTAACTGACAAAAAAAAGGGACGAAGGTCAACGTATGTATGTATAACTTCCTTTATAGAATAGTATGTATTTACTTTACACTTACTTTAAAGAGACTAATTCTCACATAGTATGTATAGACGATTTGCTTTATGGAATTAATTGTCACATAGTATATATGTTTTACTTCCACAATGGGACTAATTATAATATAGTATATATGTACGACATTCTTTATAGAACTAAAAATGTAGTTGCCCAAATTGGTACATATATTAAATATGACCATATCTAAATATTTAAATTTAAAAGTGAGTATCTAAGTATGAAAATATGACAGATGTGTTTATATCTAATTATGTTCATATCAAAATGTGTACATATCTACTCGTGTACATAGCTATTTGCATACATATCAAATTATGTCCAGATAAAACAAGCATATATCTAAATGTGTATGCATCAAATTTTGACATATCTAATTGTGACCTATCTAAATTGTGACCTATCTAGTTGTGACCTCTCTAAATTGGGAACTATCTAATTGCGACCTATCTAATTGAGACCTATCCAATTGGGAACCTTCTAATTGCCTGCAGCTCTGAGTCTGTGACTCAAGACTCGATGCTATATGTATTTTGTTTGAGTTCTTATACATATCTCAGTGTTCATATATGTGAATAACTTGTCGAATGTTAAAAAGCTTTTGAGTTTACAAATTTAGTTTATGTATATAAATGTAGCGTTTGAGTACATGTAATAGGTTGGCAGTCAAGTGAAGGGTGCGTGTACATGTAATAGGTTGGCAGTCAAGAGAAGGGTGTGTGTACATGTAATAGGTTGGTAGTCAAGTGGAGGGTTTGAGTACATGTAATAGGTTGGCAGTCAAGAGAAGGGTGTGTGTACATGTAATAGGTTGGCAGTCAAGTGAAGGGTTAGTGTAAAGTGAAATATATTCTGCACAGTAAAAAGCGTAAGAGCATGTCATGTAAACATTCGCCTGAGATGTGTACATCTTGTGTACTGGAAGTGTACATCTTGTGTACTGAAATTACTAGTCAACGTTTTAATGCCTGTTACAATGAAAGGTTTCCATAAAAGTCTAAAACTTTGGGTTAAGCCATGTGTATTAGGTGTACTCAGAGAAGGTGTGTCAGGTGTACACAGAGAAGGTGTGTCAGGTGTATGTAGACCAGGTGTGTCAATTGTACCTAGAAAAGGTGTATCAGGTGTACCTAGAGAAGGTGTGTCAGGTGTACACATAGAAGGTGTGTCAGGTGTACTATAGAAGGTGTGTCAGGTCTACACAGAGAAGGTGTATCAGTTGTACACAGAGAAGGTGTCTCAGGTGTACCTAGAAAAGGTGTCTCAGGTGTACCTAGAAAAGGTGTGTCAGGTGTACAGAGAGAAGGTGTGTCAGGTGTACCTAAAGAAGGTGTGTCAGGTGTACCTAAAGAAGGTGTGTCAGGTGAACATTTAGAAGATGTGTCAGGTGTACATAGATCAGGTGTGTCAGGTGTACACAGAGACAGTGCATCAGGTGTACATTGAGAAGTTGTGTCAGGTGTACACAGAGAAGGTGTGTCAGGTGTACCTAAAGAAGGTGTGTCATGTGTACATAGAGAAGGTGGGTCAGGTGTACCTAGAGCAGGTGTGTCAGGTGTACACAGAGAAGGTGTGTCAAGTGTACACAGAGAAGGTGTGTTAGGTTACCTAGAAAAGTTGTGTCATGTGTACAGAAAGGTGTGTCAGGTGTACACAGAGAGGGTGTGTCAGGTGTACATAGAGAAGGTGTTTCAGGTGTATGTAGACCAGGTGTGTCAGGTGGCACAGTGAAAAATAATTACATGATTTTCTTCACTACGTACTGAGATACAAATAATACTAATGTAAAATCAGTGAATGTTATTTAATAGATTATGTATCAAATAAAAATCAATATCTATGTGTCATACCATTTTTATATCATTTTATTTGCAGCTGTGTATGTTTTTTTATTAACAGCGGTGTATGTTTTTAATTTTAAGCCTGACTGGATTGGCGAATATGTATGCTAAATTTATTTATAAATTTAATTAAAAATTCTACTCCTGTTTAAACAGTTTCATTTTACCAGAGCATTTATAAAGTGATGTGACTAAAATTCTGTCCGTAAATCTAAAAAAAAAAAAAAATGCATTATTCATCATGTTAACAATAAAACATATGACGTAATAACGAGAGAAAACGGGAAGAAACCGTATATCTACACAAACACTATTGGTTACCTTGACAACTGGCAGCAGCACGTCACACTCTTGAGCGCCAAATATGGCCACACACTACACACTGATACAGCACGGCTTACAAGCAAAATCTGGGATATGCTGCCGTTCCTATCTGTTGACAGCGGTGCTCCCAATCGCTGGCTGTGTCAATAAATTAAATGCGGAGAGAAAGAAAGAAAGAAAAAAAAAATCAATGAAGTTTAACGCAATAAACGCTCATTTTGAACACAGCGAGAGTTGTCTAGCACAATTGAACTGTAGGACGAACTTTCACTTGGCGACCTGGACACACGAAGAGAGTTACTTTACTGGGTAGGTTTAACAGTCGGTGCAGAGAATATCTTTGCGTACGGCAGCGATTCAGAAAAGAAATTCCTAGTCATTCTAAGATAAATCTGTGGATAGAAAAAATCAGGGGGGGGGGGCGGGGGCGTGCCTAAAGTGGGGGGAACAGAGGGCGGTGCTTTTCCTTCTTTTTTTAAATTTAAAAATGCTCTCTTAATATTTTGGTTCCTTACTTATTTTAGGGGGGGGGGGGGGGGGGGGCGTGCCTAAAGTGGGGGGAACAGAGGGCGGTGCTTTTCCTTCTTTTTTTAAATTTAAAAATGCTCTCTTAATATTTTGGTTCCATACTTATTTTTAGCTAACAAGATTCACATATCATTTCCTGGTGGATTTTTTTAGGAAGAGATTTTATCGTGAGGATAAGACCATCTTTTTGTTTTTTTACGCCTGTGAGTGGAAGTGGAGTAAAGCTGTTACTCAGTGGCAATGATGGGGCTGTAGGGGGTGCTAATATCTGCAACTAGGTAGTGGGGGAGGGGTGTTCGAGGTGGGATAATATCAGCCTCCGGGGAGAGGGGGTGAAAGAGGGTGCTATCATGAGCCAGAAGGTAGAGGGTGTTCGTGGGTGATAAAATCAGCCCCAAGGTAGAGGGGGAGAATAAGGGTGCTAATATCAGCCACTAAGTAGTGGGGATGAATGAGGGTGCTAAAATCAGCCACTAGGTAGAGTTGGGGGGGGGTGGAGGGGCTATCAATCACCCCCCCCCCCAACACTTGGGGCAGTAAAATCAAACAGGTTGTTGTGGCCTGGTCGTCAAGTTGTGACGTATCGATCGCTGGGGCCGGGTGGGTGTGGGGGAGAAGGGTAGTGGTGGCGTAGAGTGAATGGCTGTGATTTTTTTTTGGTTTAGGTACTTCTGTAACGTTAGTGGTGTGGGGTGGTGGTAGTACACACATACAACACATACACACAACATGTGACGTGCGGTTGGCAGGAGGGGTTGGTGAGCCGTTATCTTTCACAGCAAGGATTACGGCTAAATTTGCAATACATATATTTTGTTTTACCGACTTTGGGCAACCAATTTTTGTTTCCATGCTAGCGATGTCTCTTAACAAATAACTATTGGTCACATATTATACCAACAAGGACAGAGCACATTTGAGATGTTTGAACTATTGTCGTGATTGGTTTGCAGCTCATTAAAACCTGAAGGAGAATTTATAATTTTTCAACAGTCAAGCATTCTGGATAAACGCATTCAAGAGTAAAGTCCCCAAGCCATACAACACTCTGCCCAATATGTCTTGATGATTTTTATTATTTCAAATGAGACGAACAAAAAGAAACAAAAAGAGTTCCACTTTCTAACTATCCTCCATGACATGTCAATGCCCTATAGCATTCCAATAACCCAAGACATGTCAATATCCCATTAAATGTCAATACCCTATAACATCCCATACCCCAATACGTTCCAATACCTCATAACGTGCCAATACCCCATGACACGCCAATACCCAATGACATTTCAGTACCCCATGACATCCAAAACTAAATGACATGCCAATACCCCATGACATGCCAACACCCATGACATGCCAATACCCCCATGACTGTCAGTACCCCATGACATCCAATACTCAATGACATGTCAATACCTAATGACACGCCACTATCCCATGACACGCCAATACCCCATAGCATGCCAATACCCAGTGACAAGCCAATACCCCATGACATGCCAATACCCCATGACACGGGTCACAACTTCTGTCAGCCGAGTTACTCCAACACCACTACATGTCAAAGGTAATAAATTATGGACATAATTAAAATCACCCCGTCTGAAGTCTTGGACCTGGTATCTAAAAGAGCTATTTATGGAAACTGCTATAGTCTACATAGTGGAGCTATGCTATATGTGAGACCTGCTATAGCCTAACTCGTGCCTGAACAACTCAAAATGTAAGGCGGGCCGTAATACTTTATGAAAAACTTGTGCGGGCCGAAAGATAATAGGACAGGGTGGAAAGCTATTAAGAATATTATAATAGTAATAAATAATATTTTGTTACTTCGCTGGCCACAAAGTGGGTACTGGTGGGCCGTATGTAGCGCAGGCCTCGTCTAACCAGTGGAGCTAAATGTGAGAAGTGCTATAATCTATCTAGTGGAGCCATACGTGAGAACTGCTATAGTCTTTCTGGTGGAGCCATTTGTGAGAAGTGCTATAATCTATCTGGTGGAGCTATATGTGAGAACAGCTTTTGTCTATCTAGTGGAGCCATATGTGAGAAGTGCAACGGCTCTTCATGTAGAGCAATACGGGCAATGGTGTCGCGTAGAATTGGATTAGCTAAGCAATAAGCGGGGGCTTGCAATTACACTTTTTTGAAATTTATAAAAACCTTAGCTCTGGTGAGGTGTGAGTTGTTGTTCCTTGTAACTTTATTTCTTCTCTTTTTTTTATTTTTTATTTTTTATTTTTTTTTGTCTGCCACGGTAAGCGTACGATTTTACCAATACGATCAAAGATCGCATGATTTTTAAACAAAAAAATATTTATCATTCTGATCGGTATAAACACACCAAACAATATTTACCGGTCGTACGTCCTGCTTTGTTAACGACTATTAAAGCTTTATCGCAGTCCAACACTTTTTATAATTTGTTAACGATACTTTTTTGTGTCAAAAGAACACCTTCAAATAAAACTGTTCTGCGTGTGACCTAAAGAGGTTCTTTCAGTTTGGTCACCAGCAGTGTGAAAGCGATTTTCAAATGTCCCGGTTTTAAAGTTGATGGGGAAAAAAAATGTGTCGCTTTATGCACAAAATAAATATAAACAGAAATCCGTTCATCCACGCATGGAACGGACGTTGAAAAGTTGAAATTAGAGTGTTGAAATATCACAGTGTCAAAATTAGGTCATCGTGATTAATTTATCCAACGAAATAGTTTTACAGGGAGCTTTCTAAAAGGGAACGATTTTAAAGGGGGAAAACCCAGTTATTATAAACATTAATTTGCAAAAGTTGTGTCCCTTGCAAAAATTTACTGACAATAACAAAATCAACCATTTTGTTTACACATCGAAATGTATAATAATATTCAGGGCTTGAACATAATTGAACATAATTAATAATTGATAATTAATAATTGAACATTTGATCTAACAATGTAGCCTCCCTAGATTAAGAAAAGGAAAATTACATCCTTAAAATATTTAAAAAAAAATATTTTCTTCTAAGATTCTATTGGCCATGCATTTTTATGTAGGTCGGGTTAAATTTTTGTTATCGGAAGCCAATGACAGAAAGTATTCACAGATCATTTTAATGACTTTTAGGCAAGACAGTATTCAAAGATCATCTAATGACTTTTGTGAAAGACACTTTTTCACATATCATCTTTTAGACATATTTTAGACTTCTTGGCCATCTTTTAGACTTTTGGGCATCTTTTAGACTTTTGGGCATCTTTTAAACTTTTGGGCATCTTTTAGACTTTTGGGCATCTTTTAAAATTTTGGACATCTTTTAGACTTTTGGGCATCTTTTAAACTTTTGGGCATCTTTTAAACTTTTGGGCATCTTTTAGACTTTTGGGCATCTTTTAAACTTTTGGGCATCTTTTAGAATTTTGGGCATCTTTTAAACTTTTGGACATCTTTTAGAATTTTGGGCATCTTTTAAACTTTTGGGCATCTTTTAGAATTTTGGGCATCTTTTAAGCTTTTGGGCATCTTTTAAACTTTTGGACATCTTTTAAACTTTTGGGCATCTTTTAAACTTTTGGGCATCTTTTAGAATTTTGGACATCTTTTAAACTTTTGGGCATCTTTTAAACTTTTGGGCATTTTTTAGAATTTTGGGCATCTTTTAAACTTTTGGGCATCTTTTAAACTTTTGGGCATCTTTTAAACTTTTGGGCATCTTTTAAACTTTTGGGCATCTTTTAAACTTTTGGGCATCTTTTAAACTTTTGGGCATCTTTTAAACTTTTGGACATCTTTTAAACTTTTGGGCATCTTTTAAACTTTTGGACATCTTTTAAACTTTTGGGCATCTTTTAAACTTTTGGGCATCTTTTAAACTTTTGGGCATCTTTTAAACTTTTGGGCATCTTTTAAACTTTTGGGCATCTTTTAAACTTTTGGGCATCTTTTAAACTTTTGGGCATCTTTTAAACTTTTGGACATCTTTTAAACTTTTGGGCATCTTTTAAACTTTTGGACATCTTTTAAACTTTTGGGCATCTTTTAAACTTTTGGGCATCTTTTAGAATTTTGGGCATCTTTTAAACTTTTGGGCATCTTTTAAACTTTTGGGCATCTTTTAAACTTTTGGGCATCTTTTAAACTTTTGGGCATCTTTTAGAATTTTGGGCATCTTTTAAACTTTTGGGCATCTTTTAAACTTTTGGGCATCTTTTAGAATTTTGGGCATCTTTTAAACTTTTGGGCATCTTTTAAACTTTTGGGCATCTTTTAAACTTTTGGGCATCATTTAAACTTTTGGGCATCTTTTAGAATTTTGGGCATCTTTTAAACTTTTGGGCATCTTTTAAACTTTTGGGCATCTTTTAAACTTTTGGGCATCTTTTAGAATTTTGGGCATCTTTTAAACTTTTGGGCATCTTTTAGACTTTTGGGCATCTTTTAAACTTTTGGGCATCTTTTAAACTTTTGAGCATCTTTTAAACTTTTGGGCATCTTTTAGAATTTTGGGCATCTTTTAAACTTTTGGGCATCTTTTAAACTTTTGGGCATCTTTTAAACTTTTGGGCATCTTTTAAACTTTTGGGCATCTTTTAGACTTTTGGCCATTTTTAGACTTTTGGGCATCTTTTAAACTTTTTGGCATCTTTTAGACTTTTGGGCATCTTTTAAACTTTTGGGCATCTTTTAAACTTTAAAGCATCTTTTAGACTTTTGGGCATATTTTAGACTTTTGGGCATCTTTTAAACTTTTGGGCATCTTTTAAACTTTTAGGCATCTTTTAGACTTTTAGGCATCTTTTAGACTTTAAGCATCTATTAGACTTTAAAGCATCTTTTAGACTTTTAGATATCTTTTGA